CTGCGTTCTTGTTAGTCATTTCCCTGCCCCGGGCTCTATTTCTTTATCTTTAGAGTGGGCCACATAATATCTGTGTGGTTTACTTCACAGGACTGTTGTGAGGCTAAATGCTTGTGAAAATCATTAGGGGAAGTATAGGAATGCAAAGCAGTGGGGTGGGCAGGGGCAGTGGGCTGCCTTCCAACATGGCAGTGTCCTGAGGGCAGGATACACTCTAGGTGGGGGTGAGGGGACATCTGCAAGTTTGAGCTGCCGCCGTGGTGCCTGCTCAGCGGTTGGCCCAGCGTCAGTATTGCTGAGCTCCTGGCTCCTGGCACACGAGTCTGAGAGTGGTCCATTTCCCTCGCTGTGCCTTGATGTCGTCCTCCTGAGGGTCTGTGGTTTCTGCTGAGGGCAGAGGTTGCTCTCTGTTATCAGGCCACTCCCTGCATAAATTCTGCTTAGTTTTGACCCCCCCCAAAAAAAACCTGGACAGAGCCCCCCAGTCTTGCTTCACAAAGTGAGGGCTGCACAGATTCGGGCAGTTCAGCCTCTGCTCGGCTGCTGGGCTTCCCGGTGGCTTTGGCCAAGGGCCTGGTAGAGAGGGGCTGTCTAGCTCCTTCACCCCTCGTTACTTGTATTTGGCATCCTAGTGGCCTCCCCTTCTGCCAGGGGTCTCTCCTGCCTCAATGGCTGCTGTTTTCAGCCTCTCCTCACATCTCCACCTAGCCCTGCCACTGTGTGGAGGTGTGTGGCTGCAGAAAGGACGTGGTCCTCTGCGACACCCTGTCCCCTCCTCCTTCCCTGGGGAGCCCGCAGAGGAGACGGCTTGTCCTGCCGAGATGGCGCCTCCTCCTGTAGCCACCCCTTCCCACTAGCGCTCCCACCCTTTCCTCCCTGGGCGGGAGAAGGCCCAGCTGCAAGATGCTGCCACTGGGGGTTTTGTCCAGAGGTCACTACTGAAAGGAGGTGCCGAACTCCTGACTCACATGTTAGATAATAAGTAATAAAAACATCCATTTTGAAGGAGGAGAACCTCAGCCACGGGGCAGGGAGGGACTTTCCCCCAGTCCTGTGAGGAGGTGGCATTCGTGTTGAATCCTCAGGATGAGCATTTCTGTTTTACCTGCCAGGCCGTCTGTAGCATTTCAGGTTCAGGTCGGGTGTGGATGTGCAGGTGTAGGATCTGTAGGTGTGTGCGTATATGCTGTCTGTATATACAATGGCGGTGTGTGTGTGTGTGTGTGTGTGTGTGGAGAGAGAGAAGGTGCCTTAGTGAGCTTTAGGACTCTGCTCAGCATGTATCTGGGCATAGAGCTGGCATGTGGAAAACTTTGTCCTCTGGTTTGTGTAGAAGGTCATTCAGAGTGCCCTGTTGACCTCTGTTGGCTATCCAGTCAGGCCCCTGCTGAGTGGACACCAGGCCAAAGGGCTCCTGGGCAGTTAGTAAAGTGGTCACTAAGATGCTGCAGGGGTCCATCTTTCCCCTAAGCAGGATGGCTTTATTGATGCCACTTCCCAAGAGACCTTTGAAATAAGGCACGCTTCCCTCAGCTCTGTGCCCCAGGAGTGCCACATGGACCAGGGTCCTGGGTCTTAGTGTCCGTACTGAGGGGCTTAGCGAGTGTTCTGAGACGGTGGCCGCCCATCATGATGGCCATCCTGAAGGGAGCCAGCACGTCAGTCAGGACACGCTCTGGCGGTGAGCCCGTCAGATCTTCTCAGAGTTGGAGGCATAAATGGTCCTGCTCCACACTCTGTCAAGCTTAACATCAGTGCAGTTCAGTGTTGCAATCCAATAACCATTTTGACCAAGTTAACCCAACATGTATTTAATTTTGTCCACAACTGTTACTGCTCTGCGTGGTACAAAGACAAGCTCATGAAAGGATGGTGACTGTGCAGCCCAAGACAGCAGTCACTGTCCGACTTGGGGGGCTGGCCCTGCTTGTTGGGGGGTAGTCACAGGGAGAGTCAGCCATGGAGGTGAGACTGCCAAGATGCGGAGGGAACACCAGAAATGCCCCAGGACCCTAAATGCTAAGGGTCAGATATGGAAGAGACCTCCCTCCCCCGACCCCAGGTCCCCTCTACTGAGTCCTAGAGGACCGGAACCCCCTTCCCTCCAGAAGACCATCCCAGTGCTGCCATCTTCCCGCCCAGGCACCATGCTAAGTGCTGTACCTGCATTCTCACTGTAGCCTAATAACTAACTGTGTTGATGGCTCCTGTTTCACTGACAGAGAACCCTCTGGGGAGAGGTTAAGTGACTTGCCCAGAGTCATACAGCTATTAAGTGTTGGAGGCAGGATTCGCACTCAGAGCTGCTTGGCTCCAAGGAATGTGCTGGAACCATTATGCCACATTGCCACAAGCTGTCCTGTCTGTGCCCCACAGGCTCCTTGAGTTAGAGACCTGGAGGTCTTCTGCCTCCCCTGGCCTGGTGGTCTCAGGTAGGGGCAAAGCAGCGTAGGTCACAGCTCCACAGGGTAAGCTGGTTTCTCTCCCAAGTCACTGCTGAGATGATTCAGGAAATGGGGTTTTGATTTGTGGGGAGAGGATGAGGTGAGAGGTAAGCGCTTCAGAGAGGGCAGAAGGGTCAGTGCTGTCAGCGCCTTGTTCGCAGGCTGTGTCTGGGCGCTGGACTCATTAGAGACGGGAGAGGGGAGGAAAGTGAAGTGGGCGCCCTGTTCAGGGCTGTCTCTCCCCTCATCCGTTCTTAGCAGCCCGTGGGTGTCCCATCCCCTTTCTGTAAAATGGCCAGGACCAGCTTGGCCTCTCCCATGTCTTGAGGCTCTGAGAGAGCGTGTTAATCCCAAATGAACCCAGCTTGTGCAAAAAGCACGTGAAACCAGAGGGGCAGCAGCAGGTGATGCAATGCTCACCCCAGGCCCCACACTGGAAGGTAGTCGGGCGTGCAAGGCATGCAGAAAGCACGCAGCAATGGGCTGCTGTGGGTGCCGGGGCAGCCCCTGAGGCCCGAGCCCTTCCTTGGCAGTCTCGTTGCAGAGGTAGTGCTGTGTGACCCAGGCCCGCTCTGGTTCGAATCAGGCCCTTTGTGTGTGTCATCTTGGGGGTCCCAGATCCTGAAATATGTCTACAGGGGCTGTAATTGTTGCTCCACTGTGGGAAAAATGGCGAGGAGAGGGTCTCTGGGGCTGTGTTTCATTTGTGCTATAGTGATGAGGGAATGTCAGAGGATTTCCTGGGCTGCTGATGCCCCCCATCCCTGCAGTGGAATCGTGCCCATTTCTAGATACAGAAGCTGGGGCTGAGAGGGGCAGCCCAGACCCCAGTGGGCACACTTCTTCATGAGAAGAGAGGGAGCGGAGGGCCGGCCCGCAGCAGCTCGTGCTTTGGTGGGTCCCAATTTTCAGGCCCCTGTTGGGATTGCTAGAGGTCACAACTGCCAGCCCCAAAGCAGCCAGTAGACTCCAATTTAAAGGAGGGCAGGCAGGGAGCCCTCAAGAATTTCAGAGGCCTGGCCTGTGGCTCAAGTGGTCAGACCCACTAGTGGGAGGAAATCTCAGGCTTTTAAAATTTAATATCTTAACTAGCATTTTTGGCGACTCTCCTTTGAACCGACCACTGTGTGTAACTTCAGATGGAATTTCCATTGTCGCTTTCACCGCCTGCCCTGCCTCCACCAGCTTCGGCCATAGCTGTTGCTGACGCATCTCCTTCTGGGAACTCCTTGGGACGAGAACTGTGCTGTTCTTGTCTCGGGGTCCCAGGACCTGCCAAGTATCAGCACAGAACAGGCCTTCAGAAAAGAGGTGCTCGAGCACGAGTGTAAGTGGGGGCTCGCTAAGGGCTGGGCTGCGTGGACTTGACAGGATCTGGGTGCCAACGGGAGAGGGCATTCCAGGGGGGTAAGACCTGCAGGAATGCGTGGGAGAGGCTGAGTGCAGGGTGGGAAGGTGGACTGAGGCCTTTTATGGAGAGCCTTGGAATTTAGATTTTGAGTAAGGTGGTAGGAAATGGAGAGACACGAACTGTCTTCCTCTAGCCACACCCGCTCCCTCCGTGGTGGGATGAGCTGGTCGCCTTGCAGTGCTGGGCACTTGCTACGCCCTGTGGCCTGGGACACGTGTGGTCTGGTGAGGGTGTGGGGATCACTCTGGCTCACTGTTGAGGTTCTGGATCTCCTGGGCCTCTAGTATCAGGGGGTCTTGATGAGTGCTGAGGGTGAGCATGGGAGGAGCAAGTCCCCAGGCTTCTCAGGGCGGCAGGTGTGCCTGAGGACCCCCCAAGGCCAGGGTGTAATGAAGAGCGGCCGAGCCTCTGCCTGCACTTCCCCATCCTGCCCGCCCACTCAGATATACGGACACAAGGGCACCCCCTTCCACTTCCAAACCCACCAAGACTAAAACTAAAAAGAAAACAAATTAAATGGAACCGCTCAACAGTGTTTCCAAATGCTTACAGAGCTCCCGAAGTATCTAGGGTTCTAAATCCCCGGTGGAGCAGAAGGGACGCTAACGCTTGAAGCCCTGCGCAAAGCTGGTGCCGCCTGGAACTTTCATGCCAGGTCATTGTCACACTCGCATACACCCCACACTCGAAATCTCATTATGGTCCCCATCTTTAGGAATAAAGAGACTCCAGAAAGCTAATTTACCCAAGACTATTCATCTGTGGGGAGTTGGGCTGAAATTCAAGATGAGGAAGCCCTCTTCCCTGGCCTCCAGAGCTAAGCAGGCCACTCTGCCGCCCACCTGGACACCTGCCTGCACACAGCGAGGCCAGGCAGCACAGGCCAGAGGGGCGGCCAGGTGGGGAATTCACTAGCTGTCCTCAAGAAGGCAGGAGTGGGGCCGGCTCCATGGCCCAGTGGTTAAGTTCGCACGCTTCGCTGCGGCGGCCAAGGGTTCAGATCCTGGGCGTGGACATGGCACTTCTCGTCAGGCCACGTTGAGGCGGTGTCCCACAACCCACAACTGGAAGGATCTGCAACTAAGATATACAACTATGTACTGGGGGGGGTGGGTTGGGAAATAAAGCAGAAAAAAAAAAGAAGGCAGGAGCATGGCCACTCTGCTCTCCCAGTCGATGTCTTAGGGAGGCTCTGCGTGCATCCACCCAGATCCTTTTAAAGATGTTGAATGAGGCGTCTCCCACGGCAGCTGTTCTTAAGGATGCCCGCTCTTCCTTCTCTGTTGAGAGCAGCACCCGTTTGTTGTCCTGGCTGTGAAGCCCCATCAAAGGCTTTCAAAGTCTGGAGCAAAACTGCCAAACCCTCCCTAGCATCAAGATGGTTTGTCACTTCCAAACACGCCTTCCCCTTGCAGCCGACGACAAGGGGATCTCTTCAGCAGGTGACTTAGTTCATGCTCAGGGAGTCTATCCTTTATGCGGGGAGGGGGTGAGAGTAACCCAACCAAATAATGGTGCTACTCCTAAAAGCAATAATAATAATAATTGCTAACATTGATGGAATCTCACCAAGTGCCCGACTCTGTGCTAAGCTCTTTTAAGGGAATCAATCTCGTCTTAACAACTGAGCCCTTATTTAGCAGGTGAGGAAACTGAGGCTTCACCTCTAAGTAACTGCCAGGTGACACAGCTAGTAAGTGGCAGTCCAGAGTTAGCACTGGGCAGGCTGCCCCAAACCGTGCTTTTACCCACGGCCCTAGGCTCTGTCCTGTCAGTGTCTCGCAACCCTGGGGAGAAGGCGCCTGTGAGGGCGAGCCCAACACCGGCTACCCCCTCATGGAGCACGCCGTCCAGAATCCATTCCCGCCTACCTTTCCTCTTCCTCTCACTCGGGAACCTGCACCCAACATGGCAGCAGGAGAGCTCTATCCTTGGTCATCGAAAAGCTTTATAATATACAAAATATATATACATATATACACCACAAAAATAGCTGGGAACAAAAGCTAGGCAAAAAGGTTTATATATGTTCTGTCCACTGTATTTTCCGTCTACCTGCTGCATCCTGGAATCTGGGAAGTGTCAGATCTCTTATAGTCTAAATTATTTCCCTATTCATGTTCCTAGGATGAAAGGGTTAAACCCGGACTTGCTGGAGCTTATTATTTTAATCCAGGATTATGATGGCTGTGGAAAGAGGCCACTCTGTCCCCGTGACCTCGCTGGCTAGGAGAGGAATGGTGGTTGTCCTGACTGGAGATCTCAGCCTGCCTGGCTGGGAGGAGGGCTGAGGTCGGAGCTAAGCCTGTCCCTCCACCAGGAAACTGGCTCAGACGGAGAGACCGGAGGGGGAGGGGGCCACATGCAGCCCTTTGTTCTTGGGAAGCAGTTTAGGATGCTGGTGGGCGGCAGAGCAGAGGGAAGGGCCGGAATACTCACGTGGACTCCAGTTGTCCCCAACAATTAGCTCTTTGGAGGGTTTGCTGCTCTTTGAGGGCCAAACATCTGTAGTGGGAACCCCCCAGGGAGGGGACCTCAAAACACCCCCACCCCTCACCTCGTGATGCTCCAGACTACCTGGCCAAAGACCCAGACTCACAGGGTAGCAATGTGAGTCCTCTCCAACTCCTACTGTTTACAGATGGGGAAACTGAGGCCCAGGGAGGAAAAGGACGCAGCCACCTGATCCCTATGCCCTAGCCACTGAGCTCATGAGCCCCAGATGTGCAAGCTTTCAAGCACGTGACAACAGCTGTCTATTCTTAGGTGGAATCCCCTTTGCCTAGCCATGACTGAATGCCCCAAGTCTTCCAGGAAATTTCCGGAGGAGCTGTGGGAGCTGGGATTGTGGGTTCCAGTCCATGATGAGAAGGGTCGGCTCCAGGGCTGTGTGCCCTTGGCAGAGGCCAGGGTCAGACTAGACTGGAAAGCCTCCCTCGGCCTGCCTGGCAGGTTGGCGCCCCTTGAGGGGACCAGTATGACGCAGTGATGGGAGGCGGGCGGTTAAACTGGGACAGACTCAGCATCCCACAGCCCGGCACCTGCTTTCCCCCTGCTTCTGGGAGAAAGCCCGCCTTCCATCGGGGCTGGTTAGCGTGCACCACGACCAGGGGTTGCCTGGCCTGCTGACCTTGGCTGCCGTCTGTGAAGGTGGCTGCAGTCTCCTCCTTGCTCCGACTGTTACTGCCTGGGTGCCTCCGGGTGCCTCAAAAGCCCTGCTTTTTCTAATCAGTGAAGAAACCAGCTTTGTCTGCGAGGAACCAAAACAGGGCAGCTGAGGAGGAGGAAAAAAAAAATTAACAGCTCCAAGTAGAGGGAGCAGAAAGGAAACAGCAAAGCTGGAAAATGGCTTAAAAACCTGGGGGCAAGGCTGATCCTGGCAGCATCTGGCCAGCTGCCTGGGGGCCCTCCTGCCTGCCCACCAGGTCTTGTGACAAATGCCCTCCGACAGCCGGGGAACCACAGCTGTCACCGGAAGGCTCCGAGTGTGCGGGCTGGCAGCCAGAGGCCCGTGGCTGCAGGGGCGTCTCTTTGGGCTGGTAACCTCATTATCTCTGCTGTTGGAGCGGGAGCCCCAGGGAGCACAGCTGCTCTCAGCGGTGCGTTGGAGCAGCGGCCTGCTCGGGAAGTGTGCAAAGGGAGGTCTCGCCTGCCAAAGGAGGCTTCGCAGGGCGGCGGGCCTGGAGAGTCTCTTTCACATCACTTCAGTAAAGCCCCCCCAGTTCCAAAACTGTGCCTGGGCCCTGCCAGCGTTCACAGGCACAGATGGTGCCTTTATTCTGGCAGTCCTTTTTTTTTTTTCTTGGGCCCCAAAGCTGGGTTAGGTACAAATAATGAGCAAAAGAAAGAAAAAAGCGTCATCTGCGCAGAGCTTGTCCAAGGATGTCCTAAGGAGGCCTCAGAGTTGTGCCATTTTCCGCTCACTTCTCTGTCCTCCAGGAAACTACTTGGTACCTTCCCCCTGTCAGGACAAGACCCCCTTCTCCAGGTGACATATGGGGTAGGTAAGGCGTGGGAGTAGGGGGGCTGCAGTCTGAGATCTATGCCCGCTGAGCCTCCCCCTGCCTGAGTTCTTTGTGGACCCTCCCTGGTGAGGACAGCCCAGTATATGTGACAGTGAGGAGAAGGGCAGCCATGGGGGATGCTGAAGTCACATCAAAGAGCATGTCTGACTCCAGCCACAAACATCCTCAGCCCGTCCTGGGACCCAGGGAGGGGAGGGGAGAGGACGCAGAAAGGATGCTGGAGGCAGTGGGGCTGGCCGTTGTCTGCTCTGCTCTCAATTCATGTTCGACCTTGAGCAATGTGCCAAATGTTCCTCTCTGCTCCGGAACACCCTCATCTGTCAAGTGGAGAGAACACGTGCCCTCGGCCAGCCTGGCTGGGGAGAGTGAGCTCCGTGGAGAGAAACGGCTTGTCAGTGGGAGGTTGTGGGGCTGCTGTTATTGCTGTAGCCCGGTGCTGGCTGTATGTCACTGTCTGAGAGACAGCTTTGAAAAAGGGCTGCTGTCACTTTCTGCAGCTCTGGACTGGCCGAGGAGGCAGCACATCTGGTAGGTGGGGAGGGCCAGTGGAGGACCCTCATTATTATGAAAATCAAGCCATTTGCTGAGTTGGTGTGAGTCCAGCTTAATTTCTCTCAGCCCCAAACTGATGCCTGACAGGTTTGGGTTGGGACTGAGGCAAGAAAACACCAGGACTTATAAAAATGTCATTTCCTCAAAGGAGCAGAACTGTGATGGGCAGAGCCCTGATTCCTTGTGTCTGTGGAGGGAGCTCGGGGTGGTGCTGTGTGTGCTTGAGTGGGTACGTGTGGGTGCAGAGAGAGACAGAAGGAGAGAGGGAGGTGATGCGTGTAAAGACCATCTGGCTGGGCGCAGGCCCAGCCTGACAACCCCGGGCCCTTTTCTCCCCCTCCTTCCAGATAAGTCCCACTGTCTGCCCAGGGAAGGAACAATAGAATAATCCGGAGATTCCCCTACCCTTTTCTAGATCCTGCTGGGGTCTCTGCCTTCAGTCCCTGAGCAGAGGTCCAAGGTGGGCCAGCTCCCCAGCCCTGTCCACCGTCACTCAGGGCCGTTTCCCAGGCCCCCAGCAGGGTGCCTTCTGTCTGGGAGCTGGACAAGGAAGGCTGCACATGCAGGGCTTTTTCTGGCAGAGCCATGCTCGACACTGTGAAAGCCCTCCTAATCCGTGTTATTTTCTTCTAATCCCTCCCTACCCCGCTCTGGCCTGTGTGCCACCCTGCAGGACCTTTGGTCCCAAGCCGGAGCCCGTGCAGAGCCCCAGGCATGAGGAAGCCAAGCATCTGCTGCAGCGTGCCCGGATGAAGGCCAGGACCCGGCCCCTCCGTGCCAGCCATGATATTGTGCCCGCCATTGCCCAGGGCAGCCGGTGAGTGGGGCCCCGGGCCAGGCTGACCTGGGAGGGCTGTGCAGAGAAGGAGGCAGGGAGCAGAGACGGGATCTAGCCAAGATGCCGCTGCTCCCTCCTCCCTTCTGTCTGTGCACGTGTTTTTCCCATGTCAGGCACTTGCCTTCGTTCAGTCAGTCAGTCAGTCAACACACCTTTACTGAGGGCCTACTGAGTGTCAGGCGTTGAGGAATTGAAGATGAATGAGACAAAACCTCAGTTCCCTGGGGAGACAGAGGTCACAGTCTCCAGGGAGAAAGACTGGCAAATGGATCAATACAATTCTGTGGACGGTGGCGAGGAAAGGAAAAGGTGGTGAGGAGAGGAAGGATGTGTATGCAGAGCGGGAAACCTGTGACTCCACCTGGAAAGGATGCGGGAGGCTCTCGAGAGGAGGTGGCTTCTAAGTTGGGGCTTGAAGGAGATGTAGATGTTCACTGGGCAGGTGTGGGCGGCAGGGCGGAACCCGTGAGCAGGAGCTCGGTGCTCAGGTGTTTGGCCAGGCTGGAGCGTGAGGACATTGGCGGGGTGCGTGGTGTGACAGCCAGAGAGCTCAGGGGAGGCCAGTCTGGAGGCCATCAGGCCCACTGAGTAATTTGGATGCCTCCCATAATAGCGAGGAGCCACTGAAGGATTTTAAGCACGTGGTTAGCGTGGTCACGTTTGCATTTCCACGAAGCCCTTCCGGCTGCAGGGACGTGTCAGAGCTGGGGACAGTGGGAAGGCTGCACGTGGTCCTGGTGAGACGAGATAGGGAGGAGGGTATGGAGATAAGAGATTGCAAAGAGCCAGAGGCAAGCAGATTATTGAGGCAGAGAAGTGGTGAACACTCTGGAACCAGACCACTGCATTTGAATTCTGGCTCTGCCACTTATTAGCTGTGTGCCTTTGAGGAAGTCTCTGTGCCTCAGTTTCCTGACTTGCAAAACGAGAATTATAATAGTGCCTGTCTTACAGGGTTGCCGTGAGGGTTATATGAGTTAATACAATTAAAGTGCTGAGAACAGCACCTGGCACATGGTGAGTGTTATATAAGTGTTACCTCTTACTCTTGATCATGTAATTAACTGGATATGGGAAGTATGAGAAGGGGAGGCATCCAGGATGGAGTCCAGGCTTCTGACTCGGTGTCTAGAGGTTTGGTGGGGTCCTAGCCAAGGGGTGGAGTCTAGGTGCCGTGTCAGGCTTTGGAGGGGGTTGCCCAAGGAACATCCACTGGAGATGCTTATCAGGCAGTTGGATACAGGCTCTGTAGAGGAGGAGAGAGGTTAGGACTGCAGATTTGGGCATTACTCTGATTTCACGATACATGAGCCATGGGTGAGGGTGAGCTCATCAGGGATGAAGAGATGGGAAAAAAACAAGTTCAAGGACATTCAGACCAGCACTTCACATACGTGGCTGCTCCCTGAGTGACATCCCATCCCCATCATTGTGCCTGTTCTGTGTACGGTGCACCTCAAGGAACCACTGAGACACAGAGTTCACCACACCAGAACTGGTGCACCTGGGCCTGAGATCTGGTTGCCAGCCCATGCCACACTGTGCCTGTCCCAAGCAGGACCATCTGTGCAGCTGACAAGGCCTGTGGCTTGTTTGGCACGGTGGGCATGCTGGGTCTGCCGGTTTGCCTCACCACGTGGCACTAGAGGGAGCGAGGATTCTCAGTGGAACTGGACCACATGCTCTTGGATGGGGGATGCTGAGCCTGCTCATTAAAGGCTGAGGAGCTCATGGCACCATTGAGATGATTCCAGCACGAGCAGAGGGCTGCAGCCTGCCTCTGTTCAGCCTCATTGTCATATTTAGGAGGGGGGCTCAAGAGACCCTAAATCCTGGCAAGAGGTGCCAAACAGGCTCTGCTTTTATTTCTACATTTTGTGCCTTGTCTCCCTCTAGCTGGAGGGCACCAGTTAGGAATGGGCATAGCCTCTTTGAGGCATCCTAGCTATCCTCTGCATTTACGTGGGGCCCAGAGCCTTGGACTCCCATGAGACCCTCCTGTTCCACTTTCTGTGGGTGCTTGGGTTGGCTTGGGTAGCCTCAAAATAGGCGAGACTACCTGCACAACAGCCTGGACTGTGTAAGTGTACTCTTGGACCCCTCCTCCTCCCCAGATCACATCAGCAGCTCACAACAACCCCAATCGCTAGCCTTAAAGTAGGTTCCCTTTTGTAGGCTGCCCCTGGCCGCAGAAATGCTATAGAAATGCAAGGTGACCCACTTTAGCAGCTGCTGTGTCCAGAAACGAATTACTTTGACTTGGCAGCGCTGATGAATCCTCTGAGGGTATAGCTGAAACTCAACGCCAGATGGCTTGCTGCAGATGCTTCTAAAGGTTACGCTTGTCAGATCCCCCTGGAGAGCCACGCTGAGTTAACATGGAGATGTCACACGGGCCCCAGGCCTTGGTTAGATGCAGGAGCTCCACCCCCCAGCCCAGGGCCATCAGCCCTTCCAAAGGGCAGCTTGGTGAAAGATGATGGAAGCCCAGGGGCAGGCAGAGCATCTCTAGAAGGCCCTCTTTATCCTCGGTCTGGCTGGAGGTGGCTGGGGGAGGCCGAACAGACAGGCTTTTCCAAGAGGTGAAGAGGTGGCAGTAGCTGCATTTTCTGGAAGCAAATCAACATAGAAATTGAGCAGCTCCTGGAAGCACAAGCTCTTGCCTTTTGGGGACAGGTACATCTAGGTTGGTGTTCCTAGTCCTGGGAGGGCAGAACATGTCAGCAAGATGCTGGGCCTGGGAGCGTGACCCTGGAATGCTATTGGTCTGTGTCAGATGGCAGCTGTGTCAAGACTGTAGAGCTTGTGCAGGTGACATTGGTTGAAGGCAGCAATTGTTGTAGGACCACACTGGTGTAGAAAGTGGGCCTCTAGAGAGGGGCCTTCCCATGGAGGCCATTCAACCCTGGGTGCTGAGGCAGACAGAATCCCAGAATCCTCCCCTCGAGGGATGGTTGTTGGGGCATCCGTGGTGGCTGGCCTTGAGAAGCTTGGCGTGTCCACTGTTTGCTTGTTGCTGAAATGCCTTATTCGCTCTGCACTTGTCTCCGAAATCCTTACCTTTATGCACGTTCCAGCACTGCTGGTGGAGGCCTCTGAGTTTCAGTAATTGAGTTGAAGCTACCTTATGTGATTAAGCTCTGCTTTTTTCCTTTTAGAACAAAACAGTTATTTCTACCTTTGACGAGAATTCTAGGCCAGCTTGATTCACTATCTTGTATGTGAAAGTTAAGGGCACTGACGTGGCTGGCAGGACCTGGACTCTCTTGTTAGATTAGGAATGTACTGTCTTTACTGGGCTTCCTTTTTTCCTCTCCAGAAAGTGCAGCCCACGTCCTGTCAGCAGAGCAGGGCATTGCGCTCTGGGGCCTGTGCAGGAGTTGTTGTGTCTAAGCCGGGGTACCCAATCTCCCAGGAGGCCTTTCCTGCATTGGGTGGGCCTGGCCAGTCAGGGTGTCCTGCCTTTGCAGTGGGGGTAGACCTTCTGTTCCGTGGGGCTCCCCTTGTTTCTGGAAGGTGAGGTGATGCTGTTTCTCTGGCTAAAGGCTTCCTTTCCTGGGCAAGAATGTTCTGGAGAGCTGAACACATGGACAGCGACCCCACCAGAGTGAGTGTCCACAGCCCCTCCCTCAGGTCCTGAAAGGCTAAAGAGATACAGGTACCGGTGCAGGTGGGGTCCTCAGGGGCAAGGGCTTAGGGTTCCAGGGCCTCATGGTCACCAGCAGAACACGTCCCAAGGGCAGAGGGACCTCCCCAGCCCCGCTGAGACAAGCACAGAGACCCTGTACCATCTTCAGGCCGGGGAGATCCTGTCAGGAACTTTACCTCTCAGCTGTGAACCCCTCTCTGAATGGAGGCCCACGTTGTGACTTTCGGGGGCCCTGAGTACTCTTGCCTTCGTGGACCCCTTCCTCCATAACAAAAGTTAAAAGCTATATTTTATGACCATGCTGGTTTAAAGGTGAATATATCAATGTTCTATATTAGACTGTTTCCTTTGACATAAAAGTTATTTATTTATTTTCTTCTGACTTTAAAAGAAATGAAAACATTTTCATGGGCTCCTGGGCACTGTGGCTATTGTACCTGATGGATAAGTTGGCCCTGTCTGAATGTGAGTTCCAGAAAATGGGGTGACTGACAGCTCATCAACATTCCTCAAAGCAGCCCTTTTAAGCACAGGATCTGCTCAGATCTCAAAGCAGGCGGATCCACTTGCTTAGCAATAGTACTTTTCTTAAAAGAACTGCCTCCTGGAGCAGTGCTAATTGAGGAGAATACTGGAGTCAGGAGGCGTGGCACATGTGCAGGTCCCTATCGCCCACTGCATCCCAGGGCAGTGTAAATATATGGTGGACACCCAGGTGGGACTCCAGGGAGGCCCCCAGTGCGGGCACCACAGCACTTCTAAGCTGCATGATTTAGAAACTGCTAGGAGACAATGCAGTATGACATTATGACATCTGCCAGCATGGCGTTCACAGTTGGGTGAGCACTAGCCTCTCCCCTGGTGTCATCAGAGGCCTGGGGACCAAGATTTGATGTTGCAGTCTATGTGACATGGTACAGGGAGTGAGTGCCCTAAGCCCTCAGCCACAGCTGCTTCCCAGGGAGCTTTGCAGGGAATCAGCCTTGCACAATTTTAACTCTGACCTCTCAGTTCACCTCTGGATCCCAAAGGGTAACCTCTATACATTGTGCTCCATGCCATCAGCAATCCACACCATTCCAACCCCTCAGGGCTGGGAGGCTAGTCAGTGGCTTTGCTGTCCAGGCACAGAGGGAGGGCAGGGTTAGGAATGGCCAGTGACACCCCCAGGGCGTTCACCTGAGCCAGGCAGGCAAGGCCATTTATCCATTCAGAAAGAAACAGCCTGGAAGGTTGCCCTGTCCAGTACAGTAAACGCCATGTACGGTTCTAGAAGTCAACCAGTTCAGTGGCCGCTCTCCCCACTGGCTGGCATGTTTTAATAGTAATTCTTAAGCGCAGATGGTTTCTTCCTGCTGTTATCTGAACTCCTTTCCTTTTAATTGCATGCCATATTTGTCCTTCTGTTGGGTGGCTTAAATTTGGTGAGGCAGGAACTCACGTTGAGGCAGCCTTTTTGAGAACATTGGCATCCTTCTTCCAGAATCAGTGAAGCATCCAATTAGAGGAAGGAGTAGTAAATCCACTTTTCGCTCACATACATTTTGTTAGAATAAGTTGTTGGAGAGTCGAGGCGAGCTTGAGCAAGTTGTGCTGTGTACAACATGCTACTGGAGCAGAGTTTAACTCTCTGTTCGGGGAGAGGGAGGAGGAAGCCTTCGTAGGCACGTTGAGGATGAAAAATAGTAACATAACACATAGAGTATGCCAGCATAGATAACTGTCTACGTGGGTACACTTCTGGGAAATTGGAAAGGAGTGGCAGGTCCCTAACATCCAGGCCACTGCCTCTAGGCAGGACTTGACCATCAGCATAGTCCGTGTCTACTTCTATTTACATGGCTCCTTATGAGGAGAGAAAATTGCCACAGCTTGCCTTTCCCAGCTTCTCAGGTGCTAGTCAGCTGGAACTGGTCTTGTGTGGCCCATCCTTTGCAGGAATGAGGAAGGGCCACATGGTCATGCAGTCCCTTCCGGCCTTAGCATCTTCTGAGTCTGTGATGACAAATGAGTGACACAGGTGTTCAGAGGAGGAGGCATTATCATGGTGTGTTAGTCAGGGTTCTCCAGAGAAGGAACCAACAGGATGTGTGCATATATATAGAGAGAGAAAGATTTATTTTAAGGAATTGGCTCACACGATTGTGGAGGCTTGCTAAGTCCCAAATCTGCAGGGTAGGCTGGCAAGCCTAAGACCCAGGGAAGAGTTGCAGCTTGAATCCAAAGGCCGTCTGCTGGCAGAATTCCTTCTTGCTTGGGAGATCAGTCTTTGTTCTTTTAAGGCCTTCAACTGATTGGGTGAGGTCCACCACATCATGGAGGGTAAGCAGCTTTGTTCTAAGTCCACCAATTTAAATGTTAATCTTATCTAAAAAACATCTTCTTACAAACATCCAGAATAATGTTTGACCAAGTACCTGGGCACCATGGCTCAGCCAAACTGACACATAAAATTAACCATCACAGGGGCCGGCCCAGTGGCTGAGTGGTTACAGTTCCATGTATACCACTTAGGTGGCCTGGGTTCGTGGGTTCAGATCTTGGGTACAGACCTACACTGCTTACCAGCCATGCTGTGGCGGTGTCCCACACACAAAATAGAGGAAGATGGTCACAGATGTTAGCTTAGGGCTAATCTTCCTCAAGCAAAAAATTTAAAAAAAAGAGGGAGATTGGCAACAGATGTTAGCACAGAGCAAGTTTTTCTCAGCAAAAAAAAAAAAAAAAATTAACCATTACACATGGTATCTCTACAACAGGTAAGATTAATGAACAAGATTCAAATGCAGACAGGTTAAGAGGAAAGATTCCAGGAAAGGATGACAGGAGGGCTGCATGACAGGATGGAGTGGGAAGCCTGGAGGCCCTACAAGTAGGTAGTGGGGGACAGAGCTGGAGAAGAAAGCAGGGAGGAATGTGGAGGGCTCTGTATTTACCGCACAGTGTGTGAACTTGATCCTGCGCCCCCTGTGATGAAGCTGTGCTCCATGGGGACCAACAGACAGGAGGCAGCCAGGCCAGATAAGAGGCCACTGCAGGGGTCCGGCGTGAGTGATGAAGAAGCGATAAGTGAGAGAAATGATGTGAATCTCGAACATTTAGCAATAGATCGGGGGGAGGCCGCTGCAGGGGAAAGGAAAGGAGAAGTAGGGTCCTCACTTAGGTGGCCTCTGAGGGGAAATGGCCTATGGGCCTGGGTCCATTTGCATAGTGGCCTGAAGCTCAGGTTCCCTGGCTCGAGGGGACCCTGGTGTGAGATTTGTGGGGGCGTTTCCTTGGGCTGAGTGGGACTTGACCGCCAGCCTCGGTGCCTCCAGAAAGTGGGACTTCCCAGCACAGCTTCTCAAGGGGAGGGTGTGCGAGGGGGCTGGGGAGGGCCAGGTACAGGAGTGGATGTCGGACAGACAAGGTGGAGAGTGCAAGGAGAGACACAGGAGTCACTCTGCCTAAATGTTGTCTAAGCAAGATGACCAGGAGTCCCGAGTGGACACTTTTGGGAGCGAGAATGCTTAGGACCCCTGACTTCAGGCCCCACACAGCCTCTGTAGAGACTTAAAATATGCTCTTCCCATTAAACCTTTATAGGAAATACAGTGTTGCCGCAATCCATCACTACCACATGCCTGTGATGGCCGGGCTCACGTCCTCTCCTAGACGCACACACATCACACACACGAGGACTTTGGTATCATACTTCTCGACAGTCCTGAGTTTCATTATATTTCCTCTGAACTCAGGCTGAGCCTGGCAACAGAGGGGGACAAAAGGGAGGAAGGTCGTGTTGATTTTGTTTAGCGCTGTGTCTCAGAGTCAGGATAGGCTTGGAAGCAACTCTGATTTGCTGCCTGACTCCCCAGGAACCTGATTTGGGGTAACTTTGGGGTTGTAGTGACCACGGAGCACTGTGGGAGACTGTACCCCAGAGTGCCTTCCTCTGCATCCTTCGGCCTGTGACCTCTCTCTGTGTCTCCCATCAGAGATGGCCATAGGAGCCCAGCCCTGGGCCCAAGGATGACCTTTGCCTGCAGAGACAACCTCCAGAACGGGAACACCAGTGACTCCTCCAGCGGGGAGAGTCCGAAGCGGGGCACCTCCCCGTCCCACGTCCGCTTCGAGGATGAGTCTGCTCGCGACGCTGAGTCCCGCTACCTGGAGCGTCTGCAGCAGCGGCAGCGCCACGTGCTCAGCTCCGCGCTGCAGACTGTGGACCAGGGCCCCCTGCGCTCCAAGCCCGAGCTCGCCGCCTACGTGAATGGGGGCTTCCAGCGCAGGGACGCCGTGGAGGGGGCCCTCCGCAGGCCGGTGGGCGGGCGGGATCGGAGGGCCCTCCCCGCGCCGCAGCCCGCACGGGGCAGGGAGAGGAGGTGCCGAGCCTGTGGCAACTGCATAGAGGACCGACGCCCCGCCCAGGGGAAGGCAGCCCCCGACCCGAGGGCCCACCAGGAGCGCAAAGCTGCCTGTGGGACGGAGAGGGTGCTGGCGGAGCCCCTTAGTGCTCGAGGCCGGAGCGCCCCTATCAGACTCCTCCCTGTCCCCCCGGGGCTGCACGCCAAGTGGATCCGAGAGACACACATCGGAGCCCCTGTGCGCCCTGAGGAGGTGGACTCTGCCCTGGACAGCACGGACACCTCCGACAGCTGCAGGACCGACAGCGAGGAGGCTGGGACCTCTCAACCCGACAGGACCCGCAGCCCGGCCCGAGGCAGCAGCCCCCGGCTGCCGGGCTCCAGGCCTCGAGAAGGCCACAGGTGGTTCCGGAAGGCTGAAATGGAGCTGCCCCGGTGCCCTCAGGCCCCGCACTGCCTGCCTGGGGTTGATCCCCTGGAGGTTTCAGATGAGGGGAAAGAAGGCAGAGCACACACACCCGAGGGGACTCTGTTTCCCAGAGAAGATGCTTTCTCTAAGCCTCCAGTCCTGGAATCTAAGAGGACTTCCCTGGGATCCCAGGGGCAGCCTGGACCAGAGCTGGGAAATCACTGGGCTCACCCTGTGGCTTCCCGGGCTCAGTACAGGACAGTCTGTGCCACGGCCTCTTGCATGAAGCTGGTGTCCTCGGGGCCGGGCAGGCAAGCCCAGGTTCTAGAAAGCCACCGGTCTCTGGAAACTGTCTCTGCTTCCTCCCAGCAACAGAGCCATGCAGAGCCCTCTGCCCCCCACCAGGCCGAGCAGCCAACCGCTTCCTGCTCCCCCAAAGGCTGGGTGCCAACCCCTCCCTCTTCAAGGAAAACCACCTCACCTGTGTCTCACAGGAAGGCAGCCCTGGCTGGGCCCCGCAGGCCGGGTGATCAGGGACAGCCTGCGGACACCCCTGTGCCTCCTTCAAGAAGTGTAGTTCCCAGGACCTGTGAACTCAGCCCCCTGCAGACCCAGCCCTGCAGCCCCCAAGTCAGGCACGCACTGCTGGCCCTGTCCACCAACAACTGTAACAACAGCGTGCCTCGGGGGCTGCAGGAGCCCCAGGAAGGAGCCGTCCGAGAGGGCAGAGTGGAGAAGGGCCCCCGAAGCCAGGAGCCTGAGGCACCCCTGGAGAACCATGCAGATGGTAAGGGATTGCCCCTGGTCTAGGGCAGGCCTAGAGCAGAGACCCTAGGCCAGGTCTGTGGCCCACCAGGCACTCAGGGTCTTCACTTACCTTTCATCTTAATAGGTGACGTAGCCACGAACACTCCCAGCAGCCCCTTGGAGCCCCTCCGAGCAGCGGCAGGTGTTGGGGAAGCTTGGGATCTGTGGGCTGGGTGCAGGATTCAACATCAGCCTGGAGGCGGATTGGCCAGCTCCCTCCGGGGGTGCAGAGCATGGGGAGGCAGTGGTGGGAACTGCTGGGCGCCCTGAGGGGTGTTCAGAAGCTCCACGCTCTGTGGCTGCTGGAGGCCTGGGCTTTAAAGGCGTTTGAATACCGACCCACAAAGCAGGAAGTGGCACCAGCTCCAGGATTTATTATTTGCTCAGAGGAGCAAATGCCTAGCAATCACATGGTTGAGGCCCCGCCCCTTCAGCATCTTCATTTCATTCATGCACTCCTTCATTCATTCAGTATGGATCGAGCACCTGCTACATGCAGGCCCTGTACCAGGCACTGTGGGGAATGTGTGAACTAAGTCAGCAAGAGTCCTGCCCTTGAGACCTTCTGTGGCCAGGCAGGCATGCTGTCTGGAGGACACAGTGACTGGCGGGCAGAGCCTCCCAGACCTCTGGCCTTGCTGGGCAGGCTGGTAGGTTTCAGCAGGCAAGGCTGCTGAGGGATGTAGGATATTACCTCTGCCCTTAGAAGGGGTCCTCGTATTGTGGGCACGTGCTGAGCGTCAACAGCCTTAGGCTCTGATTCCCGATGTTGTGATTTGAGGTGAGCAACTCAGCCACTCACTCTTAGGCAGAGAAAACGAGCCCGCCCCACACAGCTTTGCCTTCCTGTGCCATGACTCTGGCCGCCCTGGGGCTAGAGGAGGACAGGGCACAGAGATGACAGGCCATATCGAACTTACTGAGGAGGTGGACAACCCCCGGATGTGGGTGGGGCTGACCACCCCCTCCACTGCACAGGGGGACACAGACACTTCCCCTCTCCAGCCCTTGCTCACATGAACCTTGAGGAAGCAGGCCCATCCTGAGCTCCCTCCCGCCCTGTGCTAAGGTGCGGGTGCCTTCTCTTTGGTGGGCTCCAGGCTGGCTGCTGGCTGCCCCTAACCACTTCCTGTGGGGCGTGTCTCCTGAGATCTGCTGCCCTTTCTGGGCAGCCTGGCCTCCACCTCTCGGGCCTGGAGCAGAGGCCAAGTGAGGCCCCTCCTCTCATTAGCCAGGAGGTCTTGGGCATGTCACCGAATCCCTCTGCGCTCCAGGCTCCTGCCCTGTTCCTGAGGGTAATACTAGGAGCTATCTCCTAGGAACCCGGACACAGTCTCTGTAGAGGGTTTAACTCATTGCCTAGCACATTGCAGCACAACAACTATCTGTTGATATAAGAGGGTCATGACTTATCACAAGCAGCCGCTTCATCTTACAGACACTTATTAATTATCTACTGTGTACCAGGTGCTGTGCTGGGGGTGATGGGGCTACAGGGGTAAACAAGACCCCATTCCCTGCTTCGTGGATGTGTCACCACTGTATCCACTGCTCTCTTGGAGCTCCCGCCTCGGCCCAGCTTCCCTTGGCTCTCCAGCCTCTGTCATTGGGAATGACCCCTCCCCCCACCGTGACCTGTGGGGATGGGTGAGTGACACAGGAGGGATGCTGTGGTTGTTGCAGGAGGACTCCAGGGCTTTCTCGGCTCAGCAGCTGCCGGCACCATCAGCTCTAAGGGCGTCACCCTCTCCCTGGCCTCAGAGGAGCCAGAGTCCAGCCAAGAACCAGAGGGAGGCCTGCAGAGGACAGAGTTGAATTCTGGAGGGCATGCGTCATCCCGGTAAGTGACAGGAGCAAGAACCCTGACCGCAGGACTGGGGGACCGGGGATGCTGGGTGGGGAAAGAGAGCCCCCTGGAGTGGTGGCATGACTGGCCTCACTACTCCCAAATCCTCGAAGGTTCCTGGACTGTGTCCAAGCATGGAACCCTAATACTCTTTTCCCAACCATTTTAGTCTACTATACTTGATTATTCACTCAGTGAGCATTCATTGAACAGCCTCAAGCTCCAAGGGCACAGCTGGGCACAGCCGACCAGACAGCCCCAGCCCTGAGGTGCTCCCAGGATGGGGCTGTCTGTCTGAGAGGACTCGCTTCTGACTCTGGGCTTGGAAACAACTAGATGCTGAGGAAACTGAACCCAGCTTTCACATTTCCATTCTCTCCTGCAGTGTGGAGGGTCTGAGTCCACGCTCTGGGGCCCCCCAGCCCTGGTGAATCAGTCCTCTGGCTGGGGCCTTCTGCACTGCGCACCATTCCTGGTGACATGTGGCCCAAGGCTTCACATGCCACCAAGAGCCAAATCGCCGTCTCCAGCCCAGTAGGCTCCCCAGAACTCCAGATTCGTACCTCGGGTTTCCCCCGACATCTCCACTCGGGTGTCTGAGAGGCGCCTCAGACTCAACACCACCAAACCGACGTCTCATTCTCTCCTGCTCCTCCGGTCCTCCTCCCAGCAGACACACCGCCATCCACATGGTGCTCCCCCCGCACATCCGGGCTGCTCTTCTTCCTTCTCCCCCACTCGAGTCCACTGCGAGTCGTCTCCAGCTCCTCATCCCCCTGTCCCACGTTTCTCCTGCTCTGAGCTGCGGTCCCTCTTCTGTGGAACCCCTGCCTGCTCTCTGCCTTCGCTCCTGCCCCCTACAGTTCCTTCGCCACACAACAGTCAAAGGTATCTTTTTAAAACCTTAAATGATGTCATTTCTCCTGCTTAAACCCCCCAATGGCTTTTCCTCTCACTTGAAATAGAATTCGAACCCCTTACCTTGGCTTATGGCTCAGTGTAATCTGGCCTCGGCCCACTTGTCTGACCTCATCTGGCACCTGTTTCCCCCTCGCGCATTCCGTCCAAGTCCTAACGGCCTGGCCCCGTCGCGTTCTGGAACACGCCGAGCCTCTTCCTGCCCGAGAGCCGTGATGCCAGCTGTTCACTCGCCCTGGAATGCTCCCCTCCGGGCTCGGCAGGACTGGCTCCTTCTTGCCACTCACTTCTCACTTTCAATATCACCTTCTCAGAGAGACCTTTCCTGGCCACCCTGTCGCTCTCTGCTTCACCCTACTCATCAGTCACGGACGGTTTTCCTCATTGGTTACTAGGCTTTGTTTATAAGCTCCTGAGAGTGAGGACCTTGTCTGTCTTGATTACCACGTGCCCCAGTGCCTACAACAGGCCTAGAAGAGGTCCTGAAAAAAATACTGAATGAATGAAGGAATGAATGATTAGGTGAACCCATAGTCGGGTGGGACGCCAAGGATCTTGGCTGAGCTCTTCTCCCTAAAAGCTACCCAAGCAGAGGATCCAGCAGAAGTCCGCTTGGCCTTTCTTTCTGCAGCCTGGCCCTCACGTCCTCCACGAGGCATCCGTGCTGGCCCATCTGGGGCCTCTGGTGCAGTCCGCCCTGGCCTCTGCCCCCTAGCCCTCTCCTGCCCGCCTCATGTCCACCCTTGCATTTCAGAGCATTACCAGGGGTCAGCGCGGCTCCTGGCCCACCCTCAGCCGCCCCTTCTGACAGGAACAAGAAAAGCAGCAGCGGCATCGCCTCCACCCTGGGGCTGAAAAAGTTCTTCTTGGCCCTGGGCCAGGGCACGCGGCCCAAGTTGGGCAAGTCGCGCAGCTACAGCGTGGAGCAGCTGCAGCCCCCTGCGCCTGGCCCAGCTTCACACACCAGCACCCCCAAAGTGAAGAGAGCCCCATCGTTACAATCCCTCCGTGTGGTGAGTCCTGAGGGCCCCAGCCGAGGGGTGTGTGAGGCCGGTGGTGGAGGAGCCGCCATTGGAGCGAAAGGGGAAAGGAGAACTGGAGCACTGAGGATGCGCCCAGGGAGCCGGAGGTGGAGGCCGGGAAGCTGCTGGCATTCCCACGGTTGATCTGGGAGACCTGGATTCCCCTGGACACGGTGGGGGTGGGCAGCCTCCCCCACTTCTGTTTTTCCACCAGCTGCCCCTGCCTGGGCTCATCCTGGACTCCTCCCTCTCCTCTGCTCAACCCTACCACCTCTCCCAAGTCCTGGAGTCTACTGCCTGGTCATTCTGGAACCTTCTCCATGGCCACAGCGACTCCGTTAGTTGAGTACAAATCACTTCACACCTGGATTACCTCAAGGGCCTCCTGACTGGCATCTCTGCTGTGTCTTTCTCCACGCGCCTTCCAGAGTGGTCCTCTGATATGCAAATCTGGCCTTGCCACCCCCTTGCTGAACATCCGCTGTACTTTTTCATCCTCAGAATAAAGTTCAGATCACATGGCATTGCCAAAGCGTTTCTGTGATCTGACTGCTGCAGTCTCCCATCACACTGCTTCTAACACCTGACCCCGCTTCCCCTCGGCCTCCCTGCAGTTCTGTAATTAGGTCACACGCTGACTTTGAATCTTTACCTGAAATCTTTCCTCCACCTTCTCTCCCTGCTAATGTCTGCTCCCCCATCCACACTTCAGGCATTGCCTCCTCCAGGAAGCAGCTTCCACCCCTTCCTTGGGCTGAGCTGGGGGGCCCTGCTCTGTGTTCCCATCTCCTCCCGTGCTTCCCCGCTTCACGGAACTTGTCACATAGTATTTTCACTGATGTTTGTCTTTCTCCCCTCACTGGAGTGAATTCTTTGAGGGAACGGCACTGGATCTTTATATTCCCAGTATTCAGTACAATGTTAGTATAGTGTCCATGCACAGTGAAGGAGGGAGGGAGGGACCACAGGGCAGCGAGCTGAAGTCCTGCCTCCCCGTGGGCTGGAGGATAGACCAGCGGCAGCGCACTGACTCTCAGCTATGTTCTGAAAACCCTGTTCTGTTGAGGTGTTTCCAGGTTTATGTTTGTTATTCTATTCCTTGCCCCCCTCCCCTGGGCACAAGGAAGCAGGTGATGTGGTCTGGGGCACTGGAGCCTTTCATTTTTCAGGCTGAAGTAGGGAAGAGAGTGCGGGCCGAATGGAGATTCCCTTGGTTGTCTTGCACGAGGAACAGCACCTGGTGCGTGGTTGGTGCTCAGTGAATATTTGCTGGAGGAATGAATGGAAGCAGAGCGATCGTAAGCTGGGGAGAAGAGCCCAGAGTGGCACTGTGCTCCAGGAATTCACTTTCCTCGTGATGTTAGATTGTCCCCTGTGCGTCTGGGCCGGGGCACCCGGACGTGTTGCCATCAGAGCTCCGATCTCTGTCCAGCCCTCCAGGGCGATGGCGTGTTAGTGTAGTAGAGGGGTTACGGCCCAGGCAGCCAAGGGGCGAAGAGAGAGTAGTCTGGCCCAGACAGGGTGGGAGCAAGTGTGGGGAGGATGGAGCAGCAGAAAGAAACATTAAGAACTGAGAGAAGAAGAGGAAAGAAGAACTCTCGCCCAGAAATATTTCTGACATATCTCAGGGTGGACTCCTTCCTGTTTGATTGTTGTGCTGCCAAGGGGGTGTGTGTGGTGAGAGGAGATGTGTGTGGTGCTCAGGCGCAGCACCGGGTTGGTGTTCATTTTGCCCTCCTGAGTGGGCAAGTGACCTCACACTCCTGACCACGCTGGCTGCTCCTAGTGGCTGTGGCTCTTTGACCTTTGAACCTGCCTCTGCAAGGCTGTACCCCCTTCCCCTTCTCCCTTTCCCTAGGGACCTCCTGCTTGCCCTTCAGGTCTAGGTTGGACATGACTTATCCCAGGAAGCCCTGAACGCTGATACAAGGCCAGGCTCCCCTCTGAATCATCTTGATAATTGGCCATATTTCTTTAGAGCGTGGGTTCCAAATGTGATCCATGTGTGTAGTATTGTTTACAAGTCAGCTTCTCCCTGCCTCCATTGCCACCACTCCCACTCCCCACCTTCGGAACAGCCTCCTCATTGGGTCAGTTTCTAGAACACAGAGCTGATCTTGTGACTGTCCTGATTAGCATCACTCAGTGGCTCCTTAGCAGGCCAGGTAAGGCCCTTCCAGGTCTGGCCCCTGGCTCCAGCCCATCTCCCATCACCTCTGCAGCCTAGCCACCCAGACCATGTGTATGTTCCAGAACATACCATGCTTTCTCTCGCCTCTCCGTGTCTTTGCATACACTGTTTCTTCTGCCTGGAGCACCTGTACCTCTGTCTTCACCTGGAGAGTTCGTGCTTCAGGCCTGGCTCAGGTGTCAGCTCCTCTAGTGTCCCCAAACCTCGTGAGCGGCAGTCTCTCTGCTCCCCTGCACGTCATCTGTGCTTTCCGCTGAGCACTGACAACATGCATTCAGAGCTTCTGACTTCCCTGCGCTCACCCCCACCGTGGGGTCAACTCCTCAGGGACTTTTGTCTTGTCCATCTTTTTATGCACAAGGCTTTAAGCTGCATCGATACTTAAATAAAAATTTTTGAATGTAAGCAATCATAAAAGGGAAACTAGGGAATCACAAAATAATATTTAAGATTTTAACTCTAAAACTCTGTTTATTATAATTAATTTTCTTTCACTTTTTTTCTTAATCAATGAGAAATTTAGATTTTCGTAATCAATGAGATCATTAGTATTATTGTACTAAGTTGTTACTTTAGCCAAAAAGAAAACACTCGAAGCTTCAGATCACCTGTCTAGGCCCATCCCCTTGAGTAAGTTATGGGGATTCCTGTTGAGCACGTTGAAGTAATCACAAAAGCTTGTACAATGCATTACTGTCCTAGAAGGCCCTCAGGGTCTTGGTTGGGGTCAGGTCATGTCCACCCATGCCAGGTGGCTTTTCTCACCTGCAATATTGGGCCTTTCCCACCAGGTGTCACCCTCTCACCAGCATCGGAAAGCTGCCTCCTTTCAGAACCTCCATTCTCTGCTGAGCGGCAAGGTGGACCGGTCCAGCCTCTACCTGGTAGGGGAGCCCGGGGCCCACAGCACGGCTGGCAGGTAAGAGGGGGCACGTGGCTTGGAGGATAAGCCCAGAGAGTGGAGTTCTCTGGAGTGGAGCTATAAGCCTAACTCCTTCCTGCCTCAGCAGCATGGCCCTGAGTGGGAACCTGGTCCGGGAAAGTGAGGCCAACTGCCTGTGCCTCAGCTGCCACCGGAGACTTGGAGCTGCACCTCAGTGCCCTTGCCCTGCTCAACAAAGCTCTGAGAAGGGGTGGGGCCGTGCTTCCCCTGTCTCTCTACTGTCTAATGACAGACACGGAAATCAGGGTGTTCAGAGAGCTTCCTTGGCCCAGCTAAAGTTCCAGTTAAACATCCAGAGACAGGGACCCCCAGAGAGGCCCTTGACCTGTGACCCTGCCTAGAGCAGTCCCACCCTCTCTGATGAGACCCTCTGGGCTAGCTGCTCTTACCTGGGGCTCCAGGGAGGGACTTCTGGGGGTCCGTTAACTCCTGGAAAGTTTATATGAAATTATGGCTTTTGTCAGATTCTCAGAGAGGTCTCTGCACCTAAAAAGATGAGAAACCACTGCTCTTGGTGGTTGGGGTGGCTTCTGGTTCTGCAGCAGGCTCCGAGGAGTCTCAGACAGCCGCGGAACCTGCTGTCTCCATCCTGGCAGGCTCTTTTTGCTGTTTGAGGCCGGTGGAGGCCCAGCCTCCAGCGCCAGTGGAGAGGCGACAGTCATCTTTAAGCCAGAGGTGCTGGCCCCAGTACCCGGCCCTCTTTGCCCTCACTCTGTCTCCGGTCCCCTTGCAGGCCAGCCAAGGCCCCACCCCGGCGTGCCCTCAGCATCGAGGACGTGGGTGCCCCCAGCCTGGCGCGCACAGTGGGCCGCGTGGTGGAGGTCTTCCCAGATGGCACAAGCCAGCTGCAGCTGCAACGCTCCCCAGAGGGCACTTTCGGCTTCTGTGTGGCCTCGGGGAACGGGCGTCGGGACTCAGGTATGCCCCCTCCCCTTTCTGGGCCCCACAGCCCTGGGACCTTAGCAAACCCAGCAATGCCTTTTGGCTGGGGTCATTTCTGGTCTTTGGCCGAGCACGGAGCTCAGAGAGCCTCTCAGAGAGCCTCTCAGCAAAAGCCGGGATTCTCCCCTGAGGGGCTTTCCGAAGAGTCCAGGTGCCGGGCTGCTGGAGGAGGTAGACGTGGCGGCTTGACTCCACTGTCCCGCTGCTGTCTGCTGACGGCTTACAATCAGAAGTTTGAAGCCATCTCTTCATTGGCGAGCCAGAGGGAGATGGTGCTTGCTGGTTCTGGCAATCCCTTCGATGTGGCTGCTATGTTCAAATGGTTCCCTTCCTCCAGCTGCTGAGTGTGTCTGCATCCAGGCTCCTCCCCCAGGCTGGCTCCTGAGGGCTGTGTTCCCCTGGATCCTGGCCGCAGGCTGCTGGCTCGGCTGCCCGCTAGGTCTTGATCCAACACTGTGGGGTCAGGGAGGGGCTCTGGACGTCCTTCTGCACTCTGGCCAGCTCTCAGGCTGCTCCATGAGTCTTTTGGAGCAAAGTGGCTTGCCCAGGCCATTACCCGAGGTCTGTGGGCCAGAATCCATCTCAGGGCGAGGGCCCCTGAAAGATATTTCCCAGACAAGATGAGTAGGGAAGGAAGACAGCTGTGCTAGGGGTGGAAGGAGGGGAGAGAGAGGGAGAGGGAGAGAGAGAGACACATTCAGAAGCCTGCCCTGGCCGTGCTTTGATCTCCTGGGTCAGTTACTTAACCTGGAAAAGAACGTGCCTGCTGCCACATTTGCAGACGGCCGCGAGTTCTTGCATCTGCTCCACCGTCGTTGTTTCAATGAATGTGTCCTGAGCCCCTCCTCGGTGCTGTACGGAGTGGGGAGATGGCAGTAAGTGGACCAGACAAAATCCCTGTCCTCGGGGGTCCACATTCCCCTGGGGGGTACAGACTATAGCTACGAAAAGCATCCCTGTGTTATCTACTACGTGTTATATATGTCAGCTAGCGAAAAGAACTAAGAAACAAAGTGGGGTAAGGGCGGAGAGGCGAGTCTGGAAGGGAGGTGGGCGGCTTCTCTGAGAAGATGGCACTTGGAGGGAGGGAGGGAGGAGCCAGGTGGTGTCTGGGGGGCGGGCAGGCAGAGGGAACAGCAAGTGCGGAGGCCCTGAGGGTGGCAGCGAGCTTGGCCTATGGAGGAACCACTGGGTGGTCAAGCTGGACAGAGCAGGAGGGGGCGGGAGGGGCTGAGCTCAGAGCACGGGGCCTTGGCTTCCGAGTGAGACAGGAGCATGGGGGGCTTGGCGCAGAGACTGACGGGCCCGGATGCACACTTTTAATGGGTCACTGGCTGCTGTGGGAGACTGGATCCTGGTAGGATGAAGGTGGAACCAGAGAGACCAGCTTTAAAGCTACTTCAGTCATCCAGCAAAGACATGGTGGTGGTGGCCTGGCTGGGCTGGCCATGGAGACGGTGAGAAGTAGCTGGATCCTGGTTGACTTGCAAGTGGTTTTGACTCAGTTTGCTGATGGATTTTACGTGCATGTGAGAGAAAGAGAGGACAAGTTTCTCCCCACTCTGGTCAGGAGGGTACAACGTCTGTCCTCACAGGGAGATGGCATTTGTCACAAATATGGATCACCATAAAGTATTCAGCAGGCTGTTAGCCACTCCGCCTTTTCCTGCAGCTTCCTCTCCCCTCAGGTCAGGGGAAGTAGGCCCTCCCAGAGGCAGCGTGAAGGCATGGAGCTAGATGACATAGCATGGTTTGTACTCCAGCACCTCTGCTGGCTGTGTGACCTTGAGCAGGTTACTTACCCACTCTGAGCCTCAGTTCTCTAACCTGAAGATGATAAAATCTCCTTGGAGTGGTCATAAGGAGCATTCAATGAGGTACATAGGAAAGTGCCTGGTACTTTTCTTCCCTTCCCTCTTTAGGAAGAGAATGAACTCCAGACAGGGACGGGCATGATCTGCAGCACCTGCCCATGTGAGGTCACACACAACTAGGCAGTGTCCTCTGCCCTCCTCCTTCCCCAAAGTCCCTTTGGGCCCTTTTGCGGCAATGGGAGCCCCTCCCCCACCACCTGTCATGGAGTTCTCATGGGCAGGGGTCTCTTGGCTCTGCCCTGCCTGCTCCCCAGGGCACCCCTCCCTTGGGCTGGTGTGAGACCTTCCCTGTCCTGCCCAGGGGTGCCCTGCTCCTGTCGTTGGCTGTTGGATGTCACACAGAGATCCCCACACACACAGGACGTGGCTGGTGCTGGTGTCTCCTTGCCACAGGCTATCCTCCCACAGCCGAGGGTCACTTCTTCTGGGCCTCAGAGGGGCCTGGGCCGGGGCTGGTTTGCATTCCTCGCTGAACGTCAAGATGTGGTGTTAACTTGCTGCCTGTCACATCGATGCTACACAGCCTGTGAGAACAGCGGGCTGTGCCTTCTGCTTCTCAGTGAATACCACACTGAGACCACGCACCCTACCCGAGGCCATTGCCAGCAGACGGTCAATCTTGGAATAGCAGTCTCTCTGTCGTATTTCTGTCATAACTTTCTGTTGTGAAACCTACCCCAGTCTCCCCCAAATGGCCGGCATGACATCAGGGTCTGGTCTGGCTCTGGCTGCATTCTTTGGGCTTTCCCATCACTCCCCACGCGCACATCCTGCTATGCAGGAGCCATTTCTGCAGGCTCCACCCTCCCTTCTTACCTGCTCTCTCCCCGTGCCACCAACACGCAGCAGGGCGGGCAAGTGGTTTCAGCCCCAGCTCGAGCAGTGGAATGAGGGTGCAGGCCCAGAGGGAAGCCTGTGTGGCCGCCTGGCTGATGTACCACATCAGGAGACAGCCTCGTAGGGACAGGGACCGTGTCGAAAGGGTGGATGGGCTAAGCCCAGAGCTACAAACCTTCAGGTGCCTTGGAGGAGATTTCAATGCACTTTAGAACCCAGATTGTGGAGCGTGACCTCTGAAAAGGCTGACTTCTGTCGGGGCCAGAAGTTGGGCTGAACCAAGCTCCTGGGGGCTGGGTGGACCAGAGAGATGATCTCCTGCCAGTCCACGATGTGTCAAATGGCTTCAGCCAGAGACTGAGGACAGAGGAGATGCCCTTTCGGGCCCCTCTGAGGAAGCTGATTTTAGGAAGAGGAAGTAGAGAGTAATGTGGGCAGCTGCTTGCTGTTCCTAAGTTGGCGCCAGCCAGCAGCCAGGAGCTGAGCCGGCCTGTGTTGGGGAGCAGTGGGGGTGCTACGGCGGCACTTGGTGAATCTGCAGGTGTTGTCGTCCCCTGCAGCCCGCCAGCAGCCTGGGCTGAGCTCTCAGACCCCTGCATTCACCCAGAGAGCAGGCGGGGTGCCCGGCTCTTCCTGGAAGAGCCTGGGCTTCCTTTAACCTCTCAGGTGGAAGCAGCTGAAGGGAACTTTGAAAGGTTTTGCACAGGAGTTGAGGCAAGAGGGGCTCCCTCAGCAGGACTGTTCAGCGCTGTGTGGCCAGTAGAGGCCGAGGGGACCCAGCCTGGACGGCCCGAGGACCCCAGAGTCTGCCCCACTGACGTGGGCTCTGGGTCAGACCCAGGAGAGGAGGAGACACAGGTTCTTCCCGGGCTCGCTCTGCACCTTAGAGACCCAGGGAATGGTCCTCCTGGCCAGGCACCGCCTCTCAGGGGAAGCTGGGGGAGAGGGTGTGAGTGAAGAAGGGAAAGCTGAGCCACCGTGGCTTCAGATATGGGGGTAGAACCTTTATGTTTTCTGGGCTTTTGCCCAGATGCCTCCAAATCGTAAGTGAGGAACCCCATCCGAGGAAGACTGAGGCCAGGGCTGGTCCTAGACAAGACTGTGAGGCAAACCAGGGTTGGACTTGACCTCAGCCATGTTCGCTACTCCAATGATACCGTCCCACCCCTCCAGCTACTTGAGGCCAGCAACTGGGTCTTATTTGTGAATCCCAACTAGCACAGTGCTAGGCATTGAGTATGTCTCTTTCCTAAGTTTTTAAACATTACTTTCCTCCCTATTCTACAATCAAAGCTCATCTCAGAAAAAGATTAGCTCATTCACACTGGGGTATACATGAATAATAACAGCTTAAAGCATTATTTGTACTAGGAGCATTTAAAAGAAGAGATGGAGAAATGAAGTTATGCCATAGAGGCGGGCCCACTATATCTGGGTATAAGGCTAGTTGTGGTTGTGAGGTGGAAATAATGAGTGTGTGTATGTGTGTGTAGCAGTGCCCTCTATGAGCACCTGCCCCCACTATCCCAAAGAGCACCCACTAGGTCGGCCTTCCCCAGAGATGCATGTCTCTGTTTGGATTTCATGTGCTCAGTTCTCCCGTTTTCCTTTGCAGGGTTCTACGTGCAGGAGATGGCCGACGAGAGCACGGCCAAGCTGTACTCGGGGCTGCTGGGGCTGGGGGACGAGATCCTCGAGGTGAACGGGGCCAAGGTCGCGGGGCTGGGCTTGGCTCACATTCAGGAGCTCCTGGCCCACGCGGAGAGCTTGTCCATCCGCGTGCTGAGGCAGAGGCCTGTCCCACGGTGACCCAGAGGTGCTTTTGACCTCACCGTCCCCCCTTGGAAGCCCTGACCCGCCCCGGGGAGGTGGCTGGGGTGCGCTGACAGAGCTGAGCTGCTTGTTCCCCAAAAATGAAGAGCACAGTGGCACGTAACCGCCTGGGCTGTGGCAGGGCCCCCGCGATTGACCCCCCGGGGGAGAGGGAAGCAGCCTGCTGGTGTGCTTTGTGTAAGGATGTCACTTCATGCAGAGCTGGGGACAGAACGCACGGGTCTCCCTCCGCGCCCAGCCCGAGGTGGTGGCAACATCTTCCTGCACCTTTGTTGGCAGGGGGAGGAGAGGGATTCAGTGGGTCCTTCGGTTGGTCCCTGAGTGTCGCCTCGCCCCAGGTCCCGTCCCACTCTCTGTCAAGGGCTCCCCCAGCCTCTCACACTCCAGAACCAGAAAAAGTGCTTGCCCATGTTGGCCTTGAGCCTGCCTTTGTCAGTCTCTTTTCTCCCTGCTCCCATTCGGCACCTTTGCTCTTTTTCCAGAAATGGGCAAAGTGTCCTGGAGTAACAGTCTTACAGCCATTGACCGTAGCTTCCAAACCCCAAACTGGAACATGTTGGTGGTTCTAAAACTAGAACAGGTCTGGTGTGAGAACATCTGGGTGATGTTATTTGGTAGCCAAAATATTAAGAATTTCTGGGAAATTTTTGTGATACACAAGGTTGAAGGAAAAAAATGAAATCAATTTCAGGGAAGTGCAGCTGTGGCCAGTGGGACCGGCCAGACCAGCCCCACCCTCAGGGCCCGGCCCTCTGCCTTTGCCCAGAGCGAGGCTGGAGCTGCCTGGCTTCTCCTGTCGAGCTTGGACACAGGGCTGCAGCTGGTGGCAAGCTGTCCCCAGTCACGAGCTCTCTGCCCAGATTCCCTGACGGCAGCTGTGGGTGGGGGGTGGCCAGCAGAGAGAGGGCGGGGCATAGGCGGGGGTATGGGCTGTCCCCCCTGGGCGCCTCCCCGCTCTAGGCCTCAGCACTACCCAAAGAGTTGGGACGCTCTGGGAGTGGATGGCCGTGTGTCAGTCTTAAATTATTAAAAAGCAAAGCTGAAGCTTCTCCCACTCTGAGTTCTAAATTCTAGGTGGAACACTCACTTGACCTTCACTAGCTGTGGGCAGGGGCCGCGGGAGGGGGGGGAGGACACAGGTGCAGCAGTGGGGAGGCCCCGGGTGGGGTGAGGCCAGGTAGCTGCAGAAGCCTCATGAAGGAGGAACGGGGAGGCTCCAGCAGGTGTGCAGAGGGCCAGTGAACAGGTACTTGGGCCTTCAGGATGTGACGAGAGCACTGGGACACCTCAGAGACCATCTGGGGCCCCCACAGCAAAGACGTGGCCCCACAGCAGGGAACTACAGGGGAGGGGAAACCCTGGCGGCTCCTGTACCCCAATTCCTGGCCTTGAGGTCATGAAACTTTGGGAAAATTTCACTGTCAAAAAAGCTTCTAGGGGCAAAAGGCACCTCTGCTTTCCCAGTATGGTGCTTTTCCAGTCCTGGCCAGGAAGAAGGTGGGGCGCTCAGGCAGGGTCAGGACAGGGCAGGGGGAGGACTCCAGGGAGAGAGAGCATCTGCTTCTATTACCTCCCAGGTGCGGGGCCAGGCTCTTGACACATGTTATTTCATCCTTAAAATCGTCCTGCCAGGTATGACCTGTTTATTGTCTTCATTTACACAGATGGAGAACCAAGGCCAGTGACAATGACAGGACATTCAGATCCAGACCCTCTGACTTGGGGCCACTGTTCCTCCTGCGCCCCCCCCCCCCCCCCATGCCAGAAAAGGCTTGATGGAAGGGGGAGGGAGGGAGGCACTGGGGACTGTGTGTGAAGTAGACCAGCCCGGGGGGCGGGGAGGCGAGAGCCCTGGGAGGGGGGACGGAGGTCTGTCGCGGGCCAGGGACCAGGAGGCGACTGTGCGCGGGCAGCAGCCCCGCGACCTCCCCAAGAGGCTCCTTCACTCCGACGCGGGTGTCGCCTGCAAATCGGGGTGGCCCTGCGGGTCCGGGAGGTGCAGGCGGCCGGCCGCCGGGAGGTGTCCTCCAGCCTGGGTGCGCGCCCCTCCCCCTCGGCCGCCGGCTCCGCGCCGCCCCTTCCTCGCCTGCGGGCGCCCTGCCCTCCCCGGAGGTCCCTCCGGCCCCGGCTCGGTGAGAGCGGGGATGCAGGAGCCCGAGGGCTCACATGGCCTGGGGTCCCGGGGTTACCCGCCCCCACTCCCTACCTCCGCCACACACACGCACGACACCCGGCTGGGCGCCGGAGGCGACATGAAGAGGACCTCGCCGAGCCCTGGAGGAGTGCGCCGTCGAGGGCGGGAGGGGCAAGGAGGCGACGCGGGGCGGGGGCGCAGTGCCCGAGGTTTCGCGCGCGATGCAGGAACCGCGGGTAACTTTCAAATTTTGGGAATCGAGCTTAACCTGGGAATTCAGGGACGTGCAGTCTTTGTGCCGTCACCCCCCTGCTCCGCCAACGTTCCAGAGCTCTGATAGGGACATTAAGGACACAATCCTGAATCCTCAGGGCAACTCTGCGAGGGAGGGACTACTGAGCCCCGGCTTACAAACTGGAGCCCGAGCCTCAAAGGTTAAATCACTCATCCAAGGTCACAGCGAATAATTCGCGGAGGATTTGAACCCGGCCCTCTGTGACTCCCAGCCTGCGGCCCTGCACCCTCCTGGGACCCTGGGGGACTCCCCTACCTCACTCGGAGGCCGTGCGACAACCCTGCCAAGCCGCCCGCCCCGCTTCCGTTTCGCAGCCAAGACATGCCATGGGCTGGGCCTCCCCACTCCCCGCCGGGGAAGGGGAGACGGACGGCAGAGCACTTTCCAGAACAGTGTTTCCGAGCTGCAGGCACGACCCGCTCGTGGGTCACAAAAACTTATCTTGTGGGTTGAATCCAGTATTTGAGAAAAAAGAAGAAAGTATTAGTGCCCCGCACAAGGCAGGGGCAGATTTTTTTGGGGACACGCTGCTTTCAGATGTGTGTGTCTTGAGTGCTAATGTCTAGTCTTGTTAAGGCCCCGCCCTGGAGGGAAGCAAAAACACGCCCCCGCCTCCATTCCGCCCCGCGCTCGCCTTCTGCCCGGCCTTCTGCCCTCCCGCTGCCTGCGGAGGCTGCTGGAAAACTTTTCCGGCCTGGTGGCTGGTCTGTGTGCCTGGCCCCTGGGGAGAAGAGGCATCCTTGATCTAACATCCTTGTGGCCAAGAGGAGACCTGTGTCCCAGAGGCAAAGTGCAATGACATGACTGGACTTCCAGGTCCTGCAAACTGGCCTCTAGGCTTCCCACACGGGTATTTATTGGCGGGAGCTTCACGCTGTTGATCCCTGATGCCGGCAGGCCCCAACTCCACGCCTGCATCCACCCACCCATTCATTAAGCTTATGCCTTACAAGGGCCTTTGCTGGAAGGCCCTTCTCCTTGTCCACCCACGGACCCCCTAGCAGCCTTCAAAGATATTAGAAGTACCCACCCTGGGAAGCGTTCCATGACACCTGCATGCTGACTTCGGCCCCTCCCCTTCACCACCATAGAATCTGGTACCCAGGGCTCTGTATGGCAGCTCTCTCTCTATAGAATTGCATGTTTATTCCCTACCGAATTTACCTGGCAACAACTGGACTTCCCTGGTCCATCTGCCCAATCCGTTCCCCACCATAAATCCCCAGGCTGGCTCTGCAGCTGTTCAAAAGGCCCTGCTGTCACCGATCTCCTTCATCTGCTCCCTCCCTCCCCATCATCTCTGAAGTTTCCCTCTTTCCGCTAGAGCCAGAGCACCTGCTCAGACATGGCAACAGCCTTCCTTGGCAAGAAGCTCTGCCCAGCTCTCTCAGGCTGTGGGTTTGGCCAGGTCGGAGAGCTGGGCCCCGAGGAAGGGGCTGCTGGGATTGGCTCTGAAACGCTGCCCATGGAGCCAGGCCTTAACAGCTGCCCTGCCAGGCCTGCAGGGATCCGGGCTCTCCTGTGGATGCCTGGCTGCCCACTGGGCCTGCCTTTGTCTTGTCCTTCTGCAGTCTGGCCTCAGGCTCCGACTCACAGTGTGGAGCTGCCCTTAGGGGTCTGGCCAGGTGCCAGCACTGGGGAGAGGTCTGCTCTGCCTTTGAGATGCCCATGTGCCCAGGGTGGGGATAGCTACAGCTGTGAAAAAAGACAAGCCAGTGTGCCAAGGGCGATGGTGGAAGCCCCAGGCAGGAGGCTCCACTCCACCCGGTGAGAAAGGCCAGTCCCAGGCTCGCCAGCCTCCATCCAGTTCTGGGGTTAAACTCGGGAACAGGAATGATGGCAATCACGGGAGCTCACAGCAGCTCAGATGCTACAACTTTGGTTCTCATCCTGGGCGGCTCAAACTGAGTCTCCAGGCTTTTCTGAGTTTATGCAAAAAGGAGCTTGGCTGGCTGACTTTTTGCACATTACCAGCCAAATAAACAAAAGCTCCAAAACATCTGATCAGCAAGGCTGACCCGCCTGAGGTCCCTGACCAGATTTCTTGAACCCCACAGTGGGTCCACAGGGTCTGAGACATGGTCAAGTCTAAGGCAACTGGTGTCCGTGTTTTTCTTCGGCACTTCTGAGTTCAGTGCTTTAACCCACTGCTACCCTGTACGACCCTCCTCCCCTCTTCCGCTTTCCTGGACCATTTCTGTGGTTGGAAAGATGGCTTAATGAAACACCTGCTTGCCGCCACTAAAATCTGAAGGGTGTCTTTTTTTTTTTTAGAGAGAGCCTACATAATGGTCGAGTCAGACCTGGGTTCTAATCCAGATTCTACCACTTTCTGGTTGTATCCTTGGGCAAGCTTCTTAATTGGTCTATGCCTCGGTTTTCCTGTATAAAATGGGCCTCAACAGTATTTCCCTCATGGGGTTGTGGGAATTAAATGAGAACGGTGTTTTGCTCCTCACCGGGTCCCTAATGCCTTGGTCAAAGACCTGCCTGGCACATCAGATTCTCATGAAACGTTGGCCAGAAGTGTTAGCTACTAATAACAGAAAACCTGAGAAGTTTGCTCCTGAAGAGTTGAGGACCCCTTCCCAAAGGCCAGGCAATCTTGATGTGAGCTTTAGTGAGCGGAGAGAGAAAGCACTTAATGGTGTGCGTGAGGAAGGGGGATGAGGAGGGGGGAGGGAGGGACACCATCGCAAAGGTCAGAGGCCAGACTTGGGAGTAACCACCAATCCCGAGGGGGCTTGTGGAGCAGGTCACTCTCTGAGAGGCGTCCCGGTGGGCCGTTTGTGCTCAGGCTGTGCTTGGCCTGCACCAAACAGGAGCCACTGCTAACGTTCCAGGTGTCAGCACCTTGGTAGGAGGGGCCCTGTTCCCAGAGCGCCCACATCCCGGAGGTGCCAAGGCTCAAGGTTTACCGATTTGAAATGTATCCCATTGTGGCAGCGTGGGTGGATCTTCCACTCCTGTGGTTCCAGTTGTGCCTCAGGTCTTGCCTTTTTCCACGTCTTATGTACGACTTGCAGCCAGTGGGGCCCTTCTGATGCTGGCACTCTGCTGCCCAGCAGCTGCGAGTGGAGTTGAGGTGCCGGCACACCGGGAAGCCTCAGCCTTGCAAACGCACTTTCTCCCCGTCCACACCACAGTCCACGCTTCCCCCTGGGGTGGCAGGAGGTGATCTGCTCTCATCAGGGGACACACGTAACCATTTCCTCTGCCTAAATCCCTTCCTTCTCAACTCTTAACTGTAACTCTGAAGCACGCCCTCATTCCTCAAGCAAGGCTGGTTGTACGTTGATCTGCCTGTACCCCTTCCAGCTAGATATGACGACATCTGGGGGGAACCATGCTGAGCACTCAGGAGGCACTGATGTGCCAAGTTCTGTGCCAGGCGCTGGGGGCAAGCGGCTCTGCCTCTCACCAGCTGTGTGACCTTGAGAAATTACTTCTGTGTCCCCATTTCCTCATTGGTCAATTCAAGATAATATTAGAGTGGAAACTCCACAGTTTCATGCAGTCATTTTAAGGATGATATGCATTAATACAGAGTACTGAGAACAGATCTGGGCACATGGAAGGCGCTCAATTCCTGGAGTGAGGACATGATGGGGAATGGAGTG